TCAACAAGGCTTGTCTTTAAGTTAGTCCTAATTAGGAATAACAGCTTCTCTTTCTGTTTCCATTTTCTTCCTAATTGCTTCTATCAAGTAGTTAAATTATAAATCTTTAAGTAACCAGAAGCTCTTATTTTTAAAAGCCGACAACACATGTTTTCAATGAAGGAATGATTCTTTAACATCGTAATTTTAAAGTCAGGATGCCAGGATATTATCTAGTTGACTCGATTTTACAAATGGGAAAATTCTGAGGACCCCGACACAAAATTAAAGCATCTACCTCAGGGCCCCTCTTGGCTGTGGCTGAGGCACACGGGTAACTTGGACCCCATCACAGCGAAGGCGCCACCTGGGATCGGTGAGTGTGTTCTGTCAGTGCTGGGGTTTCCTCCTGGGTCACCCTGCAAGGTACAGGGCAGCTGAGGCCCTGGCCAAGGCTTCCCCAGTGCAACCCGAGGTCCCTCACACCGCGCACAGTGAGCGCAGCCATAGCCTCTTCCCGGAAGTGGGCCTGAGTGTGGGCGGAAGAGCAGGAGTGTGGAGTTCCAGAAACTTTGAGTTTTCAGTGCCACTGTGTCTGTCACCCAGTTGGGGTGACACGGCCGTGGACAGATGACTGTTCCTCTAAAGAGTCTTCATTTTCCCACCACAGAGACGGCAGCAGTAAAGGGCAGCAGACTGAGGCACAGGTTAGCGTGCTTAGCACATGTGTGACTGTGATGCCAGAGTTTTTGAGTATTTAGAATATACTGGACACTCTCCGTTGAACAAAGTATGTGCTGTGGTCTTGTTAAAAGAAATTACCCAAGAGCCTGTGTATAAAGTTTTCTTATTCATGAATTATTTTAATTTCATATATTCTTTATTTTATTTATTATTTTTTATTTATTGGTAATACTGGGGATTGAACCCAGAACCTTTGAGGGGGGCAAGCTCTTGCTCAAACTGGACTCAAACTACTGATCTTTCTGACTCAGCCTCCCAGCATGCTGGAATTACAGATACACAGCACCAACCCTGCTAATATAATTTTTTTGTTGTTGTTGTTCTTCAAATCCATGTAATATATTAGGGCATCCCTAGGAAATCAGCAGAGTACATATTTGATACTATAAAATAATCAGAATATTATGTTACTTTTAATATTTTACTTTTCTACTGAAGACATTATAGTCAATGAAGATTTTTCACTCCAAGTAAAAGTACTTATACCCTATACACACATTTCTTCTTATATTTTCTGGATTCTGAGAATCATGCAGTTTAGAACAAGCTAATGTGCTGCTACCATAGAAATATGTTTTTAGTACATTTTTAGACTATATCACATTTTTTCTGTTAGAGAATACTATAAAGTCATTGTATTTTACAGATTCAGAATTATCCTCAATAACATGTATATTTATGGAGCTTTCAAAAGGGTGTAACAAGAAGTAATAATCCTTTATTTTGTCAGAGAATATATTTAAAACACATTGCAAAATATTTTGCCCTGATTATCCTAAGCCAGTTACCATGTTACAGTGAACTATAAGATATTAAGCTCAAATCAAATTTCCTGCCGAATTTCTAGTTCATTGTCTTTGTCTTTTTTATTTTTAATTAAATGTATTGCTACAATTCAGATATACAGTGTGATCACATTCATCGTATGGAATTTGTACCTGTACATGATACATATCTTCTTATTTTTTCCCATTCCCCTCCCCTCTCTTCAGCCCTTCTTGCCCTCCTTATTGACAAATATAATTTTAATTTTAGTTTATCTTCTCAAAATATCGTCTCCTGTTTCCTAAGCTTTTTCACTTTTTTTTTTTTTTTTGGCCCCGGAATCAAACTCAGGACCTTGTATTTGCGAAACAGGCACAGTGCCACTGAGTTAAATCCCCTTATTTTTTACATTTCTTAACTAAAGATGAGTGTTTGAAATTTTAAAGGTAAAAGATAGAGTTCTATTAATTATTTTTATATTCCTTATACTTCGATAGCTTGACAGATTGCAGCATCTCAAGGTAGATCATTTTAGTAGAAAAATTCTCAAAAATTATAAATCAGGGAAAATATAGTGTACATGATTGAAAACATGCTGCCTTTGGAGCAGATTTTTAAAAAACATACTTGCATTGACCTAAGCGGTGTTAAATGTTTGGACACATTAATAAAGAGCCCTGGGTCCTATCTGTAACTGGGTTCCCTTCATACAACTTCTGTGACTAGACTAATGAATACATAGAGAAATAAACATCCTCAAAATGAAAAAACGCCAATAACAAGTCCAGCATTTCAGACGAAAATAGATTTATTTCAGCAAAATACATTATTTTTTTTTTTTTTAGAGAGAGTCTTGCTATGTAATTCAGGATGGCCTTAGACTCACTGTGTCCTTCAGGCTGATCTTGAACTTGTGGCAGTCCACCTGCCTCAGCCTCCTGAATTCTGGGATTATAGGTATCCACCACCACACTATTATAAATATTAATGGAAAGAAATGTGTGGAGGTTAATAGTGCTTAGAATTTTAGTATCCAAACATGTAAATAATTTAAATCTTTGATGATTTAATCCCAATGTTAATGTTAACAATTGATACACCTAAGTAAAAGGATTCCCCCCACCATTTTGTCAAGGCTGTTATTTTCCCAGACCTCTTCATTAGTTGAAGAGATTGATCTTACTGCCTTGAGTTCTGAGCATTGTCGGTGATTGCATTTCCTTGTGTAGATATTAAAGAAGCGCTCAAGATGTACTGGCTCTGTGTCTTTGTTTTGCTCTCTCCAAGAGAATGCCCTGTTCTGCCCAGCAGAGGAAGAAGCACAATGGAGAGACCATCTCGGGATGGGGGGAAGTCATTTTGAGAAGAGCTCAACACCCCAAATATATAAGGGGCCAAACAAGTCGATGGCAAGATAACAGCCTAGTTAACAAATGAGCAAAGGACCTAGCAGACATTTCTCAAAAGAAGACAAACAACTGGACAACATGTCTGTGAAAGAATGCCGAGCACCATTAATCATCTGGGAAATGTGAATTAAAATCACAATGAGATCATCTTACACCTGTCAGAATGGCTATTGTCAAAAAGACAAAAGATAAGTGTTGGAGAGAAAAGGACCCCCGTACTCTGATGGTGGGAGTTATAAATAGTATGACTGTTGTGGAAAACAGTATGGAGGTTCCTCAAAATGTAAAAATAAATCTGCTGTTTGCCACAGCCCCACGTCTTGGTACATATCTACAGGAGATCAGATGACTGTCTCAGAGGGACGCCGTTCATCACAGTGTTACTCATAATAGCCAAGATACATAATCAGCCTAAGTGTTCACAACAGACCAGTAAATAAAACGGCACGCACACAGCTGAATGCTATTTACTCTTGCCAAAAGAAGCAAATCCTATCCTCTCTGATGGCACAGTGCTGGAGGACATTGTGTCACGTAACATAGACTGGCACAGAAAGACAGTGCTGCAGGAGCCCTTGTCATTGTCATCGCCCCATATTGTGATCACCGTCACCGTTACTTGCAGTAATGCTGGTCTTGGGTGGATGCATTATTGGTATATTGGGGTGCTGGGTGTGCACCCGCTCCGAGAGCCCTGTAGTAACAGTCATCAGATGGTGGGCTGGAATTAGTTTCATGAATGGTTACACTGGAGCAGATTTCAGCCCCTGTGCAAAGCTAGTCGAGCAGCATAGGAATGGCCTCTACTGCATTTGATCGCTGTGCTGAGTCCTGAAAGCTGAGCTACCTCCAGATTTGTGTTAAGATATGAAATAGTCACAAAACAGCCCCTATGGAATATACTCATAGGCACGCTTCCTCACTCAAGAAAGTGCTGTTTTCTCACTGACAATGGAGACAATTAGATGGAAAAGACCACCGAGTCCTTCCTTACCTCGAGCTGTGCAAAGGACAGTCATCCCTTTCCCATAGGTCTTTGTAACACAAGCACTTTGGGGTTCGCCGTGGCTCCCGTAGCATAGGTCCAGAGTGCACATGCGCCTGTGGGAGCCGTCCCAGCCCTGCGTCTGCACACGGAAAGGACCGTGCTGCATACGTTGTTGTGGCATGTGTGCTTCAGGTTGTTTCACTGGCTTTTAAAGCTCCATTTTATTCCCATGGGACTGCTGCTCAGGTTCCACACACAAGTACTTCTGTGTGTTTAGGGTCGTGCACAGCTTTCCAGCCCTCAGCGCGGTGTTAGTGTCCACGAATACGGTGCTCCAGAACCTCCTTCCCGTGACAGTTCATGTCCAGCCCTAGCCATGGCCGTCCAGATGCAGAATCTTAACTTCATCCAGTGTAAAGCAGATTTTCTCTGCTCTGGTTAATCTTTCTTTGAGATTTTGTATCACTTGTGAAATAATTTAAAATTGTGACATTAATGCTTGTTTTCATGTGGGCATAATTCAAATTGGCTTCATAAATTCATAATTTATTTTATTGTCTTTTAACAGAGACATGGATAAACTAACTTTCATGGAGATTCTACCCGCTTGTCTTTGTGAGGCTTAAAATATCAAGCTTCTAAATTACTGTTATTTTAGCAGTTTGTTCTGAAGAAATTAAAACTTTTATGGGAGATGAGCTGAGGCGATTAGGACATCGATCCAGGTGTACCTGGCATAGCAGCTCATTAACTACGTGTTAATTATGTATGATTACTCCTGGAAAGCTGTAGTGGCTTCGCCATTTAGGTTGCTTCATTAAATCATTAATTTTCTTGGAGGTAACCAAGCCTGACATAATTAAGTCATCTCAGTCTGCACAGATTTTTATCTTCCCATGATGTCGAGTGCGCTGCGCGAGTCATGATAAGACGTGTGACTTATTCCCTTTTTGTATTGAGTTAGACATTGGCATTATTTATACTAGTTTGACACGTTTGCGTTATGTTTAAGTACCCTCATGAATGTCTATCTTGCAATTGTTGACTTCCTGTTTTAGTAGCTTGTCCTCCTTTGTAGCAGCCCATTCATGTGTCTGAACCACTTCTCCCAACAGCCACTTGACCCATGGCTACATGAAGCTCCTTGAGTTTATCAAGAGCATCATTTCTGAGGAAGGATTTGATGGATCCCATCACCAGGTATTGTGTTTTTTCAGAGACTTGTACAGCCACTCAGAGCCTGTTGTTTCCAGACCCGCTGGGGCAGGCCCGGAAGTCTTAGAGAAGCACGCAGCGCGCAAGCTGTTGTCAAGCGCCAGCCGTGTGAATGAGCGGACAGGCGGCCTCAGCCGGAGTCTGAGCCGCGTGCTCAGTGGTGCTCAGAGATGCGCACTCCCTGTCAGTGCTGCTCCTACATATCTGTCTGTAGAGTCTGGGATCAATAAATAGCTGCATTTTGAAAATGATTTTTAAACCTGTAACACTTGTACATGCCTGTGTCAGTTTTGTGTGTGTCAGTCATTCAGGCCTTAATTTCAAATGACCTATGTGTAAGAATTACTGTAAAATTTTATCTTTTACTATATAATGTTTTGCATTGTTTCACTGATTCAAAGATGCATTTCTATTTGCTTTATTAACATGTCTTACAGCTTAACTCTTCTCCATAGCTCCAGTTTTACATACTTATTCCATTTTGCACAAATGAAGATGTTCTGGTTAGTGTAACAAAGTGAGGAAGATTATTTTGAGATATCATGCCTTTTACTTTTTTCCCCAGTGATTCAATTACATTTGCAGCTGAAAGATCCATGCTTATATTATTTTAGCAGAAGTGTTCCACAGCACCATTATTTTTATTGACAAAGGCCAAAAAATCTTATTTTTGGCATTTTTAGCTATATTTGCTGTCAACTCAGATTTTGAAAGATTCTTACAAACTTTACTACTGTAGTTAACAATTTCTCCATTACAAAAGAAATAATTCTTAAACTAACAGTTTCATAGAAGGTTGGAGATACTCGTGCGCATTCAGGAAGTGCCAATACTCTGGGACGGCCTTTGGCTTCCCATAGATTGCTGTTTTGCTCGTGGCTCTGCATTGGCCCCAGCTAAGATTGTGGGTGCCCTGCCCTCCCTTTGCTGCAAGTGCTCGTCTGGAGAGGTAAATTGGTCCCTGACAAGCACCTCTCCCCAGTGCCGTGGTAACCATGGAAACAGGCATGTCATAACAGTTCCTGTGGCTCAGTGTGCAGGGCTGCTGCTTGTGCAGGATGGAGACGCGTCTTCTGACAGCAAGACGTTTCACAGAATGCAGAAGAGGAGAGACAATAGCAAAGGGTTGTGCCCACACACACACACACACACACACACACAATGTGCAGATACACCTCAAAATCCTGAGTAGGTTAAGCTGGCATTGGAATAGATGTTTTGTTGTCTTGTTTAGTTGAATATGAAAGAAAGCACCATTTTAAAGAAACAGTACTTTTTTTCATGAAAATCGATAACCAACAAGCTATCTTGATTCTCTGGACTGTTGACAGTCATAAAGATTGGACAGGATTGAACAGGTAAACATTTCTGTGGTGAATACCGAGAATGCTTGACATTTTAAAATCAAAATAAACCAATAGGCTATTATAAAAGTACATTTTCAGGTTACTAAAACTAAATATAGTAATAAATTTCTATATCATGAAATTATAGAATGTATTTTTTGCTGAATAACAGATTATACTTTGGTCTTAGGAACTTTGGACGAATTTAGGGCATTAATCAAGCATTCCTTTAAAAAGTATATTCCCAAATTAAAATTTTGTCCTGACACTGAAATAAATCCTACTTGTAAAAGGAAATTTTTATCTTATTTTAATTATTTTTTAATTGAGTTTACTGGTACATTTTAGGTACACAGTACAGTTACATTCATCATTGGGATCTTGTACCTTTACATGACAGGTCTTGGTTCTCATTTTTTCCCCTTGTCCCTGCCCTTCCTTCGCCCCCTCCTCCCCTCCCCGTTTACAAACACTTTATTTCCATTTTTTCACTTTCTCATATTTTTTTCCCTTATTACCTTTTCCCTATCCTTCCCACTTTCCCTACACCGTTAGCCCTTTTCTTCCTATTTCACATGGTCAATCATCTCATTAGGATCTTATGTACTATTATAGTTTTTCACACCAGAGAAACTATTCGGTATTTACAGATGTGTGACTTTTTTTTTTATCTTATTTTATCCATCACTGCAATTCCAAATACACTGAGCTAGTTGGGGACAGCAGATAGAAACGCGGTCTGGCAGAATGTTGTAGTGTGCCTCATCACTGCCTGCATGGTAAATTGCATGGTGTGTGGTCGTCTGTGAGGGCACCGGTTGCAGGCACTACGTCACTATAAGAGTAAATACGGACGCTCATTGTGCTTCCAGTGCTAGGTGAAGGATGTTAGATGTGCTCAGGGAAGAAATTTATTGTGCAGCCATCCGCAGAAGTTTGTTTTTTTCAGACTTAACCCTGCCACGCAGTATCCCACAGCCAGATGGTGTAGTAAAGGAGTCAGGTTTCCCAAGTGACGTAGGAGCCTGACTGAGGCTTTGCTTTCCACTTACCGTCGTATTTTTAAAAATCTCAACTACACCTCTGGGGTTGAAGTATTAAATTCACTTATGTTCCAGTCTGCTGTGTACCTTCTAACTAAATGTCTGCTCACTCCTTCATTCTTTGACTTGATAATTTCATTCTTTCTATTTGTGCTTGTGAGCATGGCTGAGCTTCTGTCCTCCTGACACCTGCTTAGCAGCGCTGTTGTTTTCACAGATACTTTTTGGTACATAGTAGGAGAGGGTCATGGCCTCGAAGGGTTAGAATACCCTGACCTGTCGTTTTCTGAAGAACGACACAACCTCAGATTGCATTCTGGGGTCTGGATTTGTGCAGGGAGGTTCTGGGGCTCTTGTTTCCTTTGCCTAGATTTCTCTTTCTGTGGAGAATCTGACTGAGGCTTGTTCACATGACGTAACAAGTTTAGGAATGACAAAATGAACCTGAGATTTTTGACATTTTACTTAAGTTTTGAAGCTCTAAGTAATAAAAAAGGAGTACCCTCGCATATTATACAGATATCTTGCACAGATTGGCAAGGAACATGTTTGTACTTCCAGCATATACCTTGGTACATCCGTTTGCTTTATTTCACTCAAGTAATGGAAAAATAGAAACAAAACCGTGTTTACGGATGACCAAAATCCTAACATCGAACTTCTTGTTGTCTGTCATAACGAACGCCATCCGAAGAGGATCTTAGACCAGCTTCCTTGACTCTGCCTTATTTCAAGTGCTTGGTGACACGAGGAATTTTCTGATGAAAACTCCTTTTTCTGTTATCTCACTTTTATACTGTATCATGTCCCTTCATATATTCAAAGAATTGTATGGAATTAAAGATCAGTGTCTTAGAGATGGATGGTTGGCCCTCTGTTCCATGTCCACAGATGCAGTGCATAGCAGATTGAAAACACTTGAGAAACTTTTTCTCTCTTCGCAACACAGACCTTTTTTTTCCTTGTCCTCAGTCCCTAAACAATACAGTGTAGCCCGCTGACATCACATTTACATCCTATTAGGGACATTGCGTTAACTTAGAGGTGGTTTAAAGCATCCAGGAGGCTGTGCCTAGGCTCTGTGTCAGTTCTGAGTCTGACACCATAAAGGACTCGTGTGTCCACCAATTCTGGCGTCCTGGCATCGCTGCTCTGGGTACCAGGAGGGCCCCCTGTGTGGTGCCCAGGGCCATAGGTCCACCTCATCATGCTGCCCACGCTGTCAGGCTCTGTTTCTCGTCTTCTATCTGTTCTCAGGGGTTTCCTCTTCTAATGTTTAAATGTTTTATTCATTCGTCCTATTTCCATTTGTCGATAAATTCTACTTGAAAAAAAATCTACAAACTCAATTTCCATTTGTACCATCGGGGAGAGAGATGCATCACGATGGACCATGCCTAATTGTTACCAACAGTTACAGGTGGTATTTCATAGCCGTGAGTGCTCTGTTAGGGTCTTGTTTATCAGAATCATATGTAAGAGGCATCTATCTTGAATATGGCTCTAAGAGAGGACGTCTTATTTTTTCCCACTAGAATTGTCGTAATGATTTTCTATGTATTTGCATGTACCAGTTTTTGTTAACACCTCCTTCTTTTGCTCAGAAATTTTACTAGATTGCTAACGAAACCATTTACGAAACACTTGTTCAGCTAGAATAACCCAAACAGTAGAACATATTATAAGCACATATTGGCAAACACTTATTGACAATCATCCTGGCTCTGCTTTGATGATTTTAAAGTGTGTATTCCCAAGTAGTACTGGTCACTATTATTACAACCTTAATATTAGTAGGCTCAGGTTCTAAATATTTGCCTGCTAAATTTTATGAAAAATGTTGAACTTAAAATAACATTATAAAAAGTTTCAAAAGGAAAAACTAGAGACAAGTGTAAAACCAAAAAGCTATATACATGGCTAAACATCTTTCAAACACAGAAGCAGGCACAGGTTAGAATAATTTAAATGAGACCTATTGAATAATTTATAGTTTATTAAAAAACAATTTTTAATTCTAAGAATGGGTTTGTGAACATTTTAGTTAAGATTCATACCAGTGGTTTGTTATGTATCATTTTAACCTTCTCAAACATAATTCTTAATCAGTGAAAATTTAGAGAAAATTTAAAGCTTAAGGCACAACCTTACAGTTTTCCAAAACTGACAAAATTTTCATTACTGTATTACATAACTAACTAGTTTAGAGACAGGGTCTCCTGTTGCCAGGCCGGCCTCCAACTCTCGGACTCATTGGCCCTCAGCCTTGGTCTCCTGAGGAACAGGGACCCACACCTGGCTCAGTGCTGTTATTTTTGTGTGTGTGTTCTTGCAATCTAAAAGTCTGGCTGTATACTGCCTTATTACTGATGCTACATTTTTTTTTTACCACATCTGATGATAATGTTGTCTTTCTGATATTGTAGACAAAGATAAGAGCTAGCAGCTAAAAGAGATTGTCTTACTGAGTAACAAAACCTTATGTGTTTACCTGCCCCCCACCTTTTTTTTAGCAAACACAGAAAAGTATTTTAAGAATAGGAATCCAGAACCTCGGCTCACCCCTATGGGGAGATGATGTTTGCTGTACAGAAACCTGTGGCGCCAGTCACAGCCTCACTACGTTCCTCTATGTTCTCCGCGGTCTCGTGCGGGCCTCACTCTCGGCCTGCGTCATCACGGTGCCCACACACCTGATCCAGGTAAGCCTTCCATGTTCACTTTCCCTGTGTTGCAGAAAAGTAGTCTGGCGTAGTTGGATTCGTTCCATTTCCTTGATCACTGTTGATGTGCTTGTTTGCCATGTTCGTATTTTGTTCGTTTGTAGGTGTCTGGTTGTAAATTTGCTTGTATATTTTAGGGACAATTTGCAGTCATTTTCTTCTGGTCTGTGACTTGACCTTTCTTATTGGGGTATTTATGGAGAGTCAAAGTGATAAATCTTGATGAGGTTGAGTTCATCTATTTTTTTAATGGCAAATTCTCTCTCTTCTCACCCTTTCAGTCTTACCAGCCTTTCACCTTGCCAAGATCTTTCTCTTATGTTTTTTTCAACATATTTTATAGTCTTTTCCTGTACTAATGGATCAACATATTCCTATTTGAATTTTTTACATAATTTAAATTCATGTTCTCAAATAGCTCTTGGTTTCTCTAGTTAACATTCCTGAACCTAAACTGTTACTTTGACCTGAAAATTCTATAAGTCTTACAGAAAAACTCCTTTCTCTAATCATACTAGATGTTGTACAGATACTTGCAGTTTTTATTGTTGGTGAAGCTGTTGTAAAATTAATGCTTTAATAATAGTCTTGATTTTGATAAGTGAGCCCAAAGCAGATTTAGCAGATGCAAGGGAGACGGGGCTGTGCCCGACACTCCCGTGACTGACTGTCACGCGTCAGCAGTGATTCCACGAGCATTGGGCCCGTCGGTCTTCACCACAGCCCAGCCACACAGGCCATGTGCACCTCTCAGCACGGGGTCACTACTGAGTGAGCAGCAAAGCCGAACGTAACAGTTACTCACACAGCTTCTCAGACCATCACAGCAGCCCACGGGAGGCTGTATTCATCTGCAGAGTGAACTGCAGTGAGGTCCGGTGTCAGACTTGAGCGCAGACTTCGGTCCCTTCCCTCCTTCAGCCTTGTGTGTCTGGAATTAGTCACCACCTGTGATGACACCAACTTGCCACCAGCAAATTTTTCTTGGCTAATTTTGCTCTATAATTTGATATTTTCAAAGAGAAACTCTCATCATATAATCTGAAAAATTAAGACCTCTGAAACCTTAAGTAGCAAGTTCCATTTCAGAAGAGGGAGGAAATGTTTCTCTATGCATAGTTGCACAGCATAAAAATACAGGATCTACACATGTATATATAATTTTCAAATTTATTCCAGAGAAACCTGTGCAAGAAAAACAATGAAAAAAAGAAAGAAAAGATCCATTTTTTATAAGCCACCTTGTTGGTGACTATTTCTGTTCTTGGAAGGTTCCAGCCCTGTCAGAGACACAGGGACCGCAACTGCCAGCTCCGGTCAAGGGCACCACCAGTCCTGCGAGGGGCAGTGAACGAGCCGTCAGTGCCCGCGCGTGAGGCTGTGGCGAGCTGGGAGCTGCACAGGAAGCAGTAGCCCAGCTCTGATACCGAAAAGATGCGCTCAGCCCTGTGTCACTGGAAGAAACGTAGATTCAACCTGCGCCTCTTAAATTTCAATAGAGAGGCTCCTTTGAAATGGAAATAACGAAGTATGTCAGAGTCACACACCATGACCAAGAATCAAGACAGGTTTCTCAAAATAGGAGGTGTCTTTACAAAGAAAGCCTTCTAATGTTTTCACATTTTTATGTTCTTTTTCCTAAACACTTTTGCGAAGTTAACGGATACTAGTCTTCAGGCCTATGATTCTCTGCTCTTTAAACATGATGCCTGACCATGTATTTGTTTTTCTATCAAAACACTTAGGAGAAAATGCAAAAAATCTAACAGTTTGATCAAACCAGTCACGAGATAAGTAGGAGATAAAACTCTTAATAAGCGTTAAAAGCTGGTGAAGAAAATAGGCTAAGGAAAGAGAATGACAACTGAGCAGTATGCGAGAAAGCTAGTCGTACACACATGAAGAACAGCAACCGTGAGGCTGCGAATTCTCGTAATGAAAACAGAGTGGTCGGTGTGGGCCACGTGCTGTCCTGAGCCCCTTCCAAGCATTGGTCTGACCCTGTGCTGACCCTGTATGTCTGGTGACTTCTCACCTGTTCCCACTCACACAGTCTGGTGAGTGGCAGAGTTAGGTGCTCCCCCACCAGGCTGTGCTGCTTGGTCAACACAGCTACTGACACAGGGTCACAGTGAGGAGAATGATTCAGTGCAGAGTGGGGCAGTCACAGAGCTGCCCTTCTGAGGTGGAGAGACGCCATGGGTGACTCTCAGCTTCCTCCACAACAGATGGGGCCAAAACCCCCCAGCCCAGGGCATCAGGAGAGACATGGCCACCCCGTGTCAGCACCTTGACACTTGGGATGTGGGAGAAGTTGTCATCTTCACTATTTATGACTTAAACAGACCTCCAGAGCTGAGAATGCAAGCAAGTCAGTCAGGCCTTACTAGAGAAACAGATTTAATACAAGGTGTACAAATACAGTACCTCAGTTTATGAACTCAGTTCTCCATGATTCTAGTTGCAGACCGAACTGGATGAGAACTGAATCAAATTTCCCCATAAGGGCAACATTGAATGCAGCCATTGAATTTGATTCGGTTCTCGTCTTAACTCAGTTTGCAACTAGAATCGTGGGAAGACTTAAGTTCGAGAGCCGAGGTACCACTGCATGCAGTGTAGGGATTTGCGAGACAGGTTTACCGTGGCCGCCCGCAGAGTCGGTGTCAGGAGTGCAGAGGGGCTGTCTGTGCGCTGCAGACGGAAGGAGCCAGGCCAGGCGATGGCCTGGGCTCCGTGTCTGCCCAGCAGTCCATGCCCAAAGCTGGGAGTTGACGCCCAAGTGGGGGGGTGAGGACTCCGCCCCTCCGCAGAGCCTGAAGCGGCCTGTCTTCTCTGAGCCCCTGCATTCCGCTCACATGGCCAGCAGGTTGGATGGTGCCATCTTCAGGAAGTCCCCTCACCACACCCAGAACTGTGTGGACCCCGCAAAGTTGGGAGATCTTGCTCTGGGTGACGCACTCACTTCACTAGCACACACACAGCTCAGTCTGCGCCCACTGCGATATCAGAGTGCGTCCAGAGAATAATCCCGTCCCCAGCACTGTGAAGCCACAGTGACCACATGGGAGTCCTCAGTGTCCTGGCTTTCTGAGTGAGGAGCACTGCCAGGGTCTTCTGGGGTGGCCAAGACGGAGGGCGGGGAGAGATGCAGCGAGTGTCCGTTCAGATCGCAGTAGTGACGCTCTTAGCTTCAGACACTGCTTTCCCTCCGCCGTGACCAAGGCTGTCTCCGCGGACTGCAGGTCTAAACGGTCCTCGACTGACTGAGAGTTGTTTAGCTGACACATTGTTTCAGCCGCTAGCGCAGGCACTGTTGTAGGCACCCAAGGGGACGCAGGGCTGAACAGAGTCAGAACAGCCAGAGGAGGAGAACTGACACAGAAGAGTCCTGACTGCTGTGTCTAGATGCACGAGCTGGGGGCGGGGGAGTGTTTGTGGGTGCAGAAGTCAGACACGTAGTGTGACATCCCCGGAAACGGTGCCGTAGAAGTACGCATCCGTGGGTAAAGGAACGCGACATTAAAAGCCATAAGACATCTTCATCTCTTACGGGGTGAGCCAGCCAATCACAGCTCTCCTTTTAGTTATTAGCATTCTGTCAGACGTGTACAGTAATGATTAGTTACCCTTTATTGTACTTTTGGCATGCTTCCCATGTTTAATCTCATTGTAAGGAAGGAACACATAGTTAAGGAAATTGCAAAGAGAGGGAAAAGTTAAAATAGGGAAAATAATGACATAAATTCAAAACTGATTTTTAAGACTTGGGAGTAGGATGAACTAGAACCATTTTTAGATTTGTATTCAAAAATGTTTTGTGATCAGCCTTAAACCTTTAAACTTGAATGTTTTATTTACTTTGAGTTAAAGATTATTTCCATAGCAACACAGGAAAAATGACAGGCATACTCTGAAGTGAATGTATAAAAATAAATTCTTAATATCTGTTAAGCAAACACTAAAATTATTTGCCAAATGTGTCACCGATGCCTTAAAACATAGACAGTCTCACACAGTTTACCCTGGAAACAGTATTATTACTCACACGGCCACCTCCGGGATGCAGTTTGAGTGCCTGCCCAAAGGCCTTGTGCTGAGACCCGGCTTCGGCTCCACACTGCCCGAGGAGGAGGCCTCATCAGGGGACACCGGGTGGACAGCAGCGCCCCACATCCCTGCCCGTGCCGACGGTTCCCAGAGCCCCGCTGTGCAGCCCTCCGGGCCGAGCAGCCTGCAAAGGAGCCAGTGTGTAGCCGGGCGGTGTGGCTGGACACGAGGCAGACCTAGGGCTCCAGTCGCGCTCCAGTGCGGCCCTCTGTCCAGCCCCTAACGCCGAAGCCTGTGTGTCCGCGCTGCACCTTCCGCTGCTGCTTCTGTTTACTGTTTCATACAAACGTGTTTTTGTTCCCTTGGAAACTTTTCAGTGAGATTTTTGTTTTGCGAAGCGGCCACTTTAATATAGTTACAATAAGATACTTTGGTTCCCTATGTAGCTAGATAAGGAACGTCGGCTTCTTTCCCGTGTGTAATTGGGAAGTGGCCTCCGTCCAGTGGAATTCATCACCTGCTCTCAAATGATGTAGCATGTTGTGCCTTTTACATTAATTTCATTTTCCTTCCTAGAGATAACTGTGTGCTTGAGAAGAAGGGTGAGCAGTAACATTTATTCTTTGGGGAAATAAAAGCTTAATTTTGTGTCTTATTATGATTTTATTAGCAAGGTGGAGGGAAAATAAATTCCCTCTGGCTTGTGCATTTTTTAATGCACTCTGTGACAGCTTGCTCTTCATTTGTATTTTTTATTGATTGAAAGCATTTTTTACCTGAAAGCATTAGGAAATAAATATGGAAGCACTTAGAGTTATAACTGAAATAGGTGTACCATGCTCACAGCATTCCTTTCCAAAGAAAATTGACTTATGGGTGCTAATTTTATTCAAGCTGTCATAATCTGTACTTTTAAGGAAATTTTAAAT